CCCCCCCAACATGAATCGGAAACATAAAAATACTAGGAACGCCTTTTCTCCTGATAGGTATTTCAACATTTAAGTAATGCTATTACTTGAATCAAGGAAAGGCAAATTTCCCTGCTCAATGGAGGACAGTTGATGACTGCTACCACTGAGGCAATTTGAACTGCACTTCCTATCAGTTGCCTGCTTTATTAACTCCATTTTCCCCGAGTCGAAGGCCCGACAAGAAGATCATATCCAATAAACTTAGTCCCACAAATCAGCCCTGAAAAGACCACAATAAATAAATTAGGAGGTGAATCTGGTAAGTTATAAAACTGATGAAATCTCGCCAGGCGATAATCTAAGGGCATGTCAATATGAGTTTGGTGATGGAGCAAAACAATCCGGCAGGAATTCCACTTTCGCGTTCCTCCACACGTCTTGAGAAGTCAAGGATAAGCCTTCGACATTCATTCCATTTTATGCCAAGGAGAAACCACCACCAAATATGAGGTAATTAATCGGCAAAATTGTCCAAATTCCAGGTCATAAAGCCGTAGTAATCAATTTCGAATAATGTTTGCACTAGTAGAAAGAAATCCTTCCAAAATTGAATTATGAAGTGGAGGTGGTAGATTAAGAAATTTAAGTGGATTAAAATAACAGAGATTAGAGTTAACATTGCTTGAATTCCAGTGAAATTTGAAGATCTAATAAAATTCGATATAATCTGCTACGAAATTTGGAGCGTAAATTCACTGGAAAGCCATGAAGCATGTTCTGCGGTTTAAAAATTGGAGCAGTAACTTGTGAAATGGTAAATTACTTAGCAAATGAAATGTCATGAACATGAAGGACGCTATCAATTGAAGTGAGATCAACATGACATTCTGTCTAAATTTTCTATTTCCACTCAATTTCCAACCATTTCCCAACTTGAACTGCTAAATGGTTCTGGTTTTCAAAGGCCCTCTTTAGATAAACGAACCCCGTTATTTGTCTAGGCCCTTGCAATAAGAATGAATTAAATTCGTTTACTTTTCAATTGAAAAGTAAGTGAACATCAAAATGAAAAGTAAGAAAATAACGAAACTTTCTCGACATTCTCAAACCACTCCCATCATTTCTTGATTTGGAAAGTATTCTTTAAAATGATATACTTGTTTCAAATAATAGTTTTAGGTGGCATTATTGATTTGAACTATCTCTTAATCCATTTTTTTGTTGGAATATGAATAAACTAATTAAGAAATTAGTCGTTTTGCAAAATTCAAGAATTGAAACATTTTAGATTTTGTGGCTGAATCGCGTCTCCCGTAGTTGAAGCCTCCAGCACAATTTTCGTACAGAAGTCGGTCGACAATTTTGAATTATTTCGATTTCCATCTGTCTGATCATATTAGAAATTTCTGGAATGTGCAATTATCTTTCTTTATTTTCCCATCATTGACAATGAGAACATTTATTCTGACTTCCTGGAACTTCTTTCTTTGAGATAAGCGAATTCCTCCAAGAATACTTATTTTCATCGTGGGTGGGGGGGGGGTGAGTGTACTAATAGTTAACCAATGTCAAGCGACCAATCAACCAATGAAGTGGCACTTTCCGAATAAGTAACCAATCACCGCTCTCGCTTCAATTATTGGAAGAATATATAAATGCAGTCAGCAACAGGCCAGGCACATTCGTTATTTACGGTAGTTGGTTAAGCGTGGAAGTGAGTGGTGTTCGCTGTTAAGACGAATTAGTAAAGAAATTTTCATTCGATAACATATTTTTGTACTTTATACCTTGAAATCCACGTTTTGTACAATTATATTATTATTATTTTCTATAATTATAATTCATAAATTAATATTTTTAAATTAAATTTCTGATTTTCGGAGTTTAATTTTCTCATTCAATAATTGAGATTTCAGAATGCAGAAGTACGCTCTTATCGTATTGATGCTTATTAGTGCTACCATCGCCATACCACTTGGCTTTCAAGAAGGTGTGGACCCCATGGACACATCTCCTAGTCCTGTTCCCCTATCGGAGGAAATGAATGCAACTGCCCTACTTGATGATTCTCCTGAACAAGTGTCTGCGACAACTGTAGAGTCAGCTATTTCCGAAGAGGTTGCAATTGAAGCGACGTCTCATAATCAAAATGCTTCTTTTGGTGAAGAGGGAGTTGACGGTGAAGAGATGCAAACAGTTGACCCACAAAACACCCCATCAGAGGAAATCGAAGGGACAAAAGATGCTGCTTTTGAAGTAAGCTCAAGCTTCCTGGAGTATGGTGATCTAATGACTAGAGATGTTCCGACAGAGTCATCTGAAGTGGAAGAAACGCAAGAGCGTTCAGTGGAGAATGAACTGGAAGGCACAACAAATGTTGCGACTTCTGCCAAAGAACAGACTTCGGAATCAGAAAATAACTATGAAGAGGTAGCAACTACTCCGCTTGGATTAGAGGACCCTGAGGTTATTGAAGAGGCTATTGCAACCGAAAATCTTGAGGATGAGATATTAGTTGAAGAGACGTCAGTAGAGTCGGAGACAGAGGAAGCCCCAAGTAGCGGAGACGGTGAAAGTACTCCAACTTCACAAGCTCTCGAATTTCTAAGCCCCAAACTCAATGAAACCAAAACTCCTATGGAAGATATCGAAACGGAAGCACCTGAATCTGATGAAGTAAATGAAAATTCTCCAGAAAATTTCACAAAAGCTTCATTTGTGGAGGAAGCTCTTTCAACCGAGGCATCGATTAAGGAAACTTCTCCATCAACTTCTGTAAAGGTCGAAGAGCTTGAAGTGGAGCAAGATTTGGAAAATTCTTCCGTTGAGCCTAAAGAAATTACCTCCGAAATCAACGCAACTGACTCAGAATCTAACGACTGGGAAGCAGTTGGAGAAATGACAGAAGAGGTGGAGGATCCTACTATTACTGAGAGTTCTATTGAAGAAAAAGAAATCAGTGTTACCTCGGATGAGGTTGTTGAAGGACAGGAAAGTTCCGTCGAGACATCCATAGGTGGCATCTCTCTTGATGCGTCAACAACTCCTCAACCGGACTTGGATTCTCTTATGAATGCCTCTCCTGTGGTAGAAGAAACAGAAATGACTGATTCTGTGGACATTTCCTTGAAAGCTTCATCGGAACCGACTGAAGGAGTTACGACTCCTGAAGCCACTCCACACTCTGAAATCCAACCATCTGAAAACGAGACACAAGTACCTACAACAACTGATAGTGATCAACGTGGCATGCACCCAGAAACTGAAGGTGTCATTTCAAATGAAACAACAGAGAGTTTAGCAGTAAGTTCGGAAAACGGATTTAATCAAAGTGAAACAACCTTATCCACCTCAGAACCTGAGAACTCTCTTGGAGATTCCTCGGAGTTAGGTACTGAGTCTGAAGCCACGGAAGTTAAAACCGACATTTTTATAAGAGAAATTTCAGAATCTTCAAAACAGACAACCACCCCAGAAGACCAAGTTTATACGGAGGCGCCAGAGGTAGAGGATGAAACTCAGGAAAATAGACATCCTGAAACGGGTGAAGAAGAGAGTGCAGTAGGTACAAAGTCCGGTGAAACCACGATCACAACAGATCGAATTGAACGTAAGTGCCCATTCCACGCTGTTAGTTATAAACAGGCCACACATTTCATCCGTATAAACACATGGTAGTCCTACACGGTTGTACAAAAAAACGAGCGATTTATTTTAAATTTAGAAATAACACACTCGTGAGGTATGTTTGTTTGGCTAATTAAGTTTTGTGAAGTCCATATTTAATAGATTTGCCAAGTAGGCTCCTTGACTAAACTACTGGCATAATATTCTAACTTGCAGACGCAATGGAGGATGAAGGTGAACAGACAGAAGAACCTGAAGGCGAATCAGAAGTCACCCCACAAGGAGATGAAAAAGGTAACAATGAATTACTTTCTATTTAAAATTTAACAACTGTGTTCCAGACTTAGAAACTGAAGAAGCGGTTGCCTCTACGTTGCCAGTAGAACCTGCTGATGACGAGACTGTACCTCCTTCAGAACCCTGTAAGTCGAACTACCACACGTTTTTCTTTGCCCCATTACACGATTTACCATCGCAATGGTTAAGGCACTTATCCCCTGAAGTCACGTGACTAGAGGGTATTTCATTACACACAGAAGAGCAATTTTGAACTCTGGAAGGAAGACGGTGGGTGAGAAGGAATCTTCTATGTCCGCCGTCTTTTGGCATGTATACTTCCATAAATGCTGCGTGAATTGTCAATCGCTCCCAATTTACTGCCTCTGGGCAAGAAATCGGGGCAGCAAGGCAAACGCTCGAGCTGTCATTACCCAACCCGTCCATTTTTTTTTCACAATTTAAATTTGAGAAAAAGTTGGCGCTATCCTGCTAAAACACAGCTTTGCATTCGAAATGCTGATTTAATTAGGATCATGAATTTGCAATATCAGTTAAGATTACTTTTTCCAATCATTTAAACAAAATCCATTTTGGCGTTGGAGGAGTTGCCATTAGAAATTCTCAACGTATTTGAATTGGGTTAGCAACATGTAATTGAAAGTGCCAAGTATTGATGAATTGGGCATTTTTCATCCATTTCCTTAACGCTTACATAAATTTGACTCATACATAATTATAATTTAGACACGTTACAATGTTCGCACACATGTCATTGCATTACTAAAGAAGGGTAGTGAATATTATACATCAGCCTTAAATACAGTCAATAGTAGTATATTCAAATTTGCATTCTTTGTTAGAGAAAATGAGATTAGGGAAATTTTCGTGTTGATGGGAAGTGTTTATGCCCCAGTGGTTTTAGGTTTGCAGAAAAAAGTCATTTCTGCGTGGAATAAGGACTTAGAAAGGTGGAGTGAGAGTTCCGCTTTCTCCACGAGATGGCTTTCAACTCACAATTCTTCTCAAATTGCGTGTAAAGGAAATTGTTTCACCAGGCACTCTGAATTAACTAAACTAATTTTTCTAGGGTTCAGAAATAAGGATTTAGGTAGTGAGGTGCGTAATGGATCGTAAACATGTTACGTTCGAGTAATAAACATAAACATTATTGTCTTCAAATTCTACCTAATAAGCCTTTATTTAATGACGATTTTCAATAATAGGAATATTTTGAATGATTCATAATTTTCGATAATTTTTTTATTTACTTCAATTTTTCGATCACACAAATAAGATGAATTAAAAGACATTAAGAGGGCATGCTCAAAATAAAATTATTTTTATAAGTTAAGCCTTCTAAGAACTTTGGTCCTTTAACGATTTTATATCAAATTATTGACATCAAATTTCACCAAATGAGATTAATAAATAATTCACTTCCTATTTAATAAGTTTATCCGATGCATTTAATTGGCTAAAATTTGAAATTTTTATTTTTTTACAAAATTTATGTTTAGATGTCGAGCCAGGGGTTTCCGCTCATCCCAACAGTTCGAATTTCGGATCATTTCCAGCTTTGCAGAGTGAAAGAGTTGCACTGGAAAGTTGTAAGTTCCCATCTGTGGAAGATAAGAAGAAGCTCAAATGTCAACCTAGATTCAAGAATTTGGCATTGGCGCTCTATCCTTGCACCAATAAAGCACTAATTAAAGAAAATTTGATATTGAGGCGCTTAGGCTGAGTAGTAAACTAGCAGATTTAAACCAGAATTAGAGGAGATATAATTCGATTATAACCGCACCAAATTGAGTAAAGCAAACACGTCATAGGCTTAAATTGAGCCGGAAAATAATTATTTTTCCTGCAATGATAAAGTTCATATATATATATATATATATATATATATATATATAT